CTAACTCAGTGTTTTATGCTGATTCCAAATATGTTATTAGTTTTGAGTCAAACTCGATTTTTTCCGATGAAAATCTATTGAAGACTGATGGAAAATGGAAAAATATGAGGTTTCGAGAAAATTTAGATCGACTGATTCAACGAAGGTCACTTCTTGTGGGTGTGTTAGCAGAAGTGATTTTAATACAAAAGTCAAATCAAAAGCTAGCAAGACACGTGTTTCTATTACTGCTAAAGTAATCTTATCAATTGCTGTTGATATAAGATGTTCAAGTAGTTGATTGAGCTGCCATGACCGGTTTCGTGCGAGCTAAGGGACTCATTCAGATGGCTTAATCTAGGGGTGTGGGTGTGGGTGTGGGTGTGAGTATGGGTGTGGGTGTGGGTGTGAGTGTGGGTGTGAGTATGGGTGTGGGTGTGGGTGGATGTGGGTGTGGGGTGGCGGGTGTGGGTGTGAGTTTTCTCTTCATTGACTCACACACTCATACCCACACCCACACCCATACTCACACCCACACTCACCCCACACCCACACCCACCCACACCCTGAGAATGCAGAAGTATTATTGCAACTGAATATAACGAAAACTGTGCCAAATAAACTGGTTGAATAGCATCAATAAGAACAGGAACATCCACTTGAAGAACAAAAAGCCTACCATTTTTTGCTTTCCAATGGTCGACATTGGCTATACAGTAAAATATAAAAAAATTGAGGAATCAATGTTATTAATGCTGAATCAAAAGAAGTATTTGTAATTCTGTATGGCAATAATGTTTGAAAGGTATGCACTTAGTTAAAAATTTATATCATCGAAACACAGCTCAGGGATAATTTGAGTTCTGCAATCTGACAAATGATTTATTAATTCCTTTATTTAAGAAAGTGGATCAGTATGTATTGAATCCAAACTACCCAAATAAGGAGATTAATGACGCAGCTGATGTTGACTACAGAGGTTCTTGAACTTAAAAAAACTTGTTCGTATGATTAGCAAAAATAATTATTTTGAACGATAAGTAATATGTACAGATTTACTAAAACAAGACATATCACTGTAAAAAGTCTGATATTGAAAACGATTATTCAAGTGTTATTTTTGAAATATTTTTGACCAGGTCTCAAAGATGAATATAATATTTGTTCTCAAGATTTAATCCATAAGTAAAATAAAGCATTTTTTTTATAAAAATTTGATTAAATGATGAATCATAAAGATTAGCCATATAATAGAACTTTTGAATTTATAATCATTATAATCTATTCAATCTCATAATCAACATAGATATTTACTTGCATGATTAAATCTGACATGATAATTATGTAGCAGAGACAAACTTTTAAGTTTCTGATCAATTAAAGTTAAATCATACTTCGTTTGATGGCTTTACCAACGTCAAATGAGCGCTGGTACGTGGCCGATGCAAACCAAATGCATATAATCAAATATAATAGAACATGGATAATTCAATATATCAAGTAAAATCGAATAACCTTTAATACCTTCAATGCATACTTGTTTTCCAGTTCTTTCAGATTCCTTAGTGACATGTTTAGCAATACGTACAAAAGCATGATGAGTACGTGTTTTAAAATTATTGAGTTTGTATGGATATAGAACCATACTATATTTATTATTATATTGACCTAGAAGAGATAAAATAGTTGTATAAAAAAAAAGATAAGGAGAGATTAAACTAATTGAAAAAAATACCACTGGATAAACAATAATTGCAAGCACTTTTACCATTGAAGTTGATCGTTTTTAATAATAGGGACTTCGCCAGTAAATCGGCGATAAAACATTGGATGCGCACAACGAATCGGTATTCAGTATTGCCGATAAAAACCGACGTGCCTCGCTCAATCAGAGCTCGTAACTGAGACAGTATAACATCTAAAAAATATTGGGATCAGGCTTTAAACGGCTAACCCATAATGCTAAAGTTAATATATTATGTTTGTATTCACGAATCGGAGGTGGTAGTTCAACTATAGAAGCATAAAAAGGCCATAAACTTCGCTTATTGCTGCGCACCAATGATGCAGCATCAGCATGCAAATCAATGTAATAACATTTCCATTTGTTTTATTATTCGTGATTTCCTGATAAAATCTAAATCGAGAAACATCACCTGGTGGAAATAAATGATTTGTTTGGTCAGTAAGTGTATCAACATTGCGTGCTAAAATTGATTCAAGACGTGAAATGATGTTAACAGTGACAACTTCTGTTAATTCATTGTTGTTTAATGTCCGTTGAGATCCAACACAACCACTGGTTAAACATATTTTTGCACCAAGCTTCAACGTAGACACAATACTTGAACAGTGATTACAATAATATTGAGTTGTAAACATTGATGTTCGACCAGATCGTTTGAGTACTTGCTTGTGTGTAACAAGAGGATTATTCGGGCTTGGTAGAAATGATTTTATTAGTACGAGTAGCTTTTTAGATTTCAGTTTATCCAAGTTAGCATCAAGTGAAAATTTCATGATACGATCTGTCGCAAGCGCAGTACTAATAGATGAACCAAGAAATAATGGTGGTGAATCATCAAGAATTTCATTCGAAATAATATAAGCGTTGTCGTGTTAATCGACTTCATAAAATAAAAGATCATCAGATGTTGAAAGAGAAACTGGTGTTGCATTTGTTGATTATTCTTGGAATGGTATACTTTCATCGGATTGAAAATCGATTGGTGAATGCATACGGCGAATCATTTGATATTGTTGTTGATGACGAATTCTCTGGCGAATAACGTTCGGTGAGTAAAAACGACATGAAAACATCTAAACAGAAATAGGCAATTAGTAGGGGTGATCCTTTCTCTGTACGTTCCTTTATTATAAAGGATAAATATAAACAAATCCCTTACCTTTATTTTCTAAATATAAATGACCTTGTTTCTTTAAAAAAAATAAATGATAAGCCTTGTTTCCAACGGTTTATCTTTATTTTCTAACGATAAATGGTCCTTTATCGTTAAAAAATATAGATAAAAGAATCATTTATCATTATTTTTCAAAGTAATACTAAATGACTAATCATAGTAATGACTCATGTAAAAAATTAAAGGTAAAATCAGATCAAAATCGATTAAAAAATGATTAGAAATCGATTAAAGTTATAGACCTTTTAATCGATTTTTAATCAAAAATAATCAAAAAAAAATCAAAATTTCATGCATAAATTTGATTAATTCTGGTTAATTTCGATTATAATCGATTAAAATTTGATGAGAAAAATCGATTTTTCTCATCTAATTTTAATCGATTATAAACGAAATTAATCAGAATTAGTCGAATTTCTGTATGAAAGTTTGATTTTTTTGACTATCTTTGATTAAAAATTGATTAAAAGGTCTATGATTTTAATCGATTTCTAATCATTTTTTAATCGATTCTAATCTGATTTTATCTTTAACTTTTTTTGCATGGGTAGAAGTATTAGGTAAAAGTTATTATAGCAAGTCAAATTTTAAAAAAATACTCTGTACAGATAAAACTACTTTCAAAGATAACTTTATTATACGAAAATGAAAAAATCAGATTATTCAAAAAGATTCTAATTCAATCAAAACAAGTGACAGAGTCGTCTTTGAAATAGAATTTTCTCCTAGTAATCATAACTCTAGTATTATCAAAATAAAATATCAGTGTAACTGGATACAACACATTCGCTACTGATAAATTTGTCGATATTTATAGATGCGTTATAAGTGTTTTATTCGAACGAGAAAAAGATCGACGGCATATATCGACGGTCATTATAAAAACCGCTGGTATACCGCGGTAATACACGTAAATGCGCGACATGGGTATTATTTCTAATAGAAGGTTTATTTTTATATGTAAAAAAGGTTATATTGGTGATCAATGTTAAATAAAAGAAAATGAAATAATACTATCATTTGAGAATAAAGTATTAAATTACCGTAATCGATATTTATTCATTTTATAGAGGTTTTTGAATAATAGACCACCAATTAGATCAACAACACTTCAAACAATTCCTGTTAAACAAGACTTTATTAAAATACTTTGGTTAAGACCATTTCATCTTATTTTTTTTCAATTTTTAGAAGAGAAATATTATTTAGTTGTTATTAAAAATACTTATAATCAATCTACAACAATTCTGTGAATAATAAATCAATCAAATTGTTGTCAACATTTAAATGAAATATTTAATAAAACAATTGTTAAATTAAATTTAAATCTTTCATGTTTTTATGATAACAATCATCTATATTTATGTTATAATTTCAACGAAAAACGTCTTGTAAATTGTTTTGAATTTTCTCATAATATGACATTTGGTTGTTCAGGTCAAAGTGTATGTAAAAATAATGAAAAATGTTTTCAAGATCATCCTAATTGTCCAAAATGATCGATATGTATCTGTCCTTCATGTTTCTATGATACAAAATATCAATTTAGTACAAGTGGATTTGGTTTATCACTTGATACTATTTTAGGTTATCACATTAAGCCAAATATTAATATTCAATCACAACTATATATTGTTAAAATAAGTTTAACATTCAATATTATTTTTCTTATAATAGGTTTTTTTAAATGATATATTTTCAATGATAACAATTAAAAATAAAAAATTACAAGAAGTTTAGTTCATCAATAACAACTTTACTAACAATGATTTTATGTGCATTAAAATTTTGGATACTTGTTTTAGCACAAATGAAATTAATTTCAAATCGATCATTCTTAAAAATTCAATATATTTCACTTGATTATCTTTTTATATTTATGTCCTAATATGGATTAATGGTTAAATGCATGTGTAGCATTTGAAAGAACATATACAACAATAAAAGGTACCAATTTTTAGAAAAAGAAAATGTAAACAAGTTACAAAATTTATTATAATTATAATAAGTAGTTCAATATAGGATCCATTTTATCGTCGTTTAATTGATGAGGAAAATGATAATAATGAAAAACGAATATGATGTATTATTATTAATTATCCATCAAGTTTTTAAATATTTAATTTAATTTAGAATACAATTCATTTTTTTAATACCATTAATAATTAATTTAATTTCAGCTATTATTTTAATAATAAAAAAATCTCATCAGCAATCACATCTTAAAACAGATCGAACATGTAATCAATTATTTCATAAACATAAAAAATATATTTATTGCGTCAATTATATTAGTTATATTAGCATTACGACGTTTAATTATATCATTTGTATCAAAATCAGAGATGTCCATCGCGGTTGAGAATCTACCGCGATGGTATTTTTTAAAGTCTTTCGATTTTCAAGGCTGTGATTGGTTTAAACTAGAGCTGTGGCTGTTCATCGATCAGATTTGTCAAGTATTATAATGCAGCATACATCAATGACGAGATAATGTGTAAATTCATGAGTTTTTAAAATTTTTTTCTAGAAAAGCTGCCGCCGCGCCGCGAAGAACATCTATGATCGAAATGCATGAAATCAAGAGATGGTTCTCGAATATTTTATTTCATTTATTCCACCAATGATTACATTTATTATTTATATATTATCATCAAAATTCTATAAACAAGAATTCGATAAAAGTATTGCAAGATATTGAACTACTGTACAAAAATATTTAAGATATATATGATAACGACCAATTACAAAAATGTTTGTTTTTGTTTATGTTTATGCAAAATAGAAATTTATTGGTTGTTGTATTGATTTGAAAACATAGAATTGTATACAGATTGTGTAGCATTGATTGATACTGTGGAAAGATTGAATAGAGATGTGAATGGATTATAGGAGAATATAGATGATGAAGTTTGTATTGTTTCTGGTGGTACTCGGAATTCAGGATCTATATTTATTTCAGGTAATAATTGATTTGACGGTGGAAAAAATTGTTTGAGAAATGATTTTACACATGATGAAGACATTGTATATGATATCGAATTATGATCATCATCTGGAAGTAAGATTATTTGTTTGTTTTCAATATGACCTAATGAATTATATAATGTTTTTGAATGTTCTGATGAAATTAAACCATCACGTTCACCATGTATAAATAATGTTGGACAATTAATATATTTCATTGTTTCAAGATTATTCCAATATGAATTACCAAATAAATTTCCTGGAAAACCAATTAGTCCTGTAATAACATTTTGAATTGATGTATATGGTGATTGAAGAATAAGTCCACCAATAGGTTTTGTTGATGCAATATGACATGCTGGTCCAGTTCCAATTGAATGACCATACATAAGAATTTTATCAGTTGGCCAATGAAGTGTTTCATGAACAAATGAATACGCACGTTCAGCATGATTATTAACTGTTGTTTTATTGATATCGACTGATCCTTGACATAATCCATAGGAAGGATATTCAAAAATAAGTATATGAGTATTAAGTTCGTCAGATAAAATTTTCATGAATGTATCCATAGTACCAATATCACAACCATTTCCATGAGAGAATATCATAAAAAAATTCGCTTGACGAGGTGGAGAATAAATCATACATGGAATTTTTGGTATGTCAAATGAACCATGTTCAGTTGGTAACCAAATTAAATGATCATCATGTGATGTTAATGTGTAATTAGATGGATTTGGTGCAGGAAAAAGAAATTTTTCAATAATCATATTTTTAATATTAATTTTCAGTTAACGAAATAAAATCTAGAAGAATTAAAAAGTAATTGTTTAAATTTGATATTCGACGATTAACATTATGACCCTTAAATAGTCTAGCATATAGACAAAAAAAAACTATATGATGTCAAAGGTAATGGGAAAAAGATTGACAATATTTACATACTGACGCCGACATATCCAATAAATAGGAAATAAAGAATATCAAGCATGAATCATAATGACTTTGGCCCCGAACAGACTGAATACAATAAAACTGAATTAACCAATACTATTCGCGTTGCCATGCAAAAAGACCAATCGTGTTTCTTAATTCACTTTGAATTAGTCAGTCTATTCGGGGTCACTTCATTAACTATGACATCGATATTATTCATGCATGGATTTCTATAATATACTTATACGATTATGTCATCGAAAAGAGGGGTAATAATAAAAGGCCGAATTTCAGATCGAATAATCTGATTCGTGACTAATTAAGTAAATATGATACACATTTATATTAAAAGATGGCGTCTTCTTACTGCGTGCATCTTGTGCATGAAATCCAAGACATTAGTTAAATAATTATGAATTTGATACCTAAATTAATATACATGTGCAATAAAAAACTGTTATTCAGAAAAATTAAAAATTTTCTGAATACTAATAGAAAAACTTAAAAATTTTAGGATTCAAATTTAAAATTTACACGAAAAAAATATTTTTTTCTTGCAACATAAATATTCGTTATTGTAAATAAAAATAGGATGTGGGTGTTGGTGCGTGTGCGTGTGGGCGAGTATGGGTGTGGGTGTGGGTGTTGGTGTGGATGCTTCTCTTCTCTTTATTCACACCCCACAGCTGCACCCTGAACGTAAAGTGACGAAAAAACTGAGGATACCTTCATCATTTGATTTATTTTGACTGGGAAAAAACCCACAGCATGGTTTGAAGAGAGTATACGAGAAGCACATATTGCACACAAAGTTAGAGATATCGATACAAAAAATACGACGGTGTCAGATAAAAAATAGTCATGTTTGGTTTATTCAGGTAATTTATGTGAGAAACAAGAAAAATTGTCGACAAATATAAGCATGAGAAACGCTTGCCGACTCGCATTGTACCACGTGCATATTTCGATGTTACGTGGTAAGTAGAGTGTTTTTTATGCTCTCGCTGTTCTTACACTAACGATATGTTTTACTTTGATAATACATCAGTAATGACAGTAAAAGCGATGAAAACTAAACATAAATTTTTGCAGTTAGCAAGCGCAAAGATAACAAAAATAGGACTCTATAGAAAACTTCAGTCGGAATAGGGTGTGGGTGGGTGTGGGTGTGGGTGTGGGTGTGTGTTGGTGTGGGTGGATGTATTGGGTGTGGGTGTGCGAGAGAGAGTTGGTGTCAGTGAAGAGACAACTGACACTCACACCCACACCCCGCCTATATTCACACCAGCGGAGGATACAGAAATTTTTCAATACGGGGCGATTTCCTGGAAAATGGGCGATTATTGACATAGCATGTATTTTGTAGCTTCATTAAGATAGTTTCTGCTTTATTTAAACGTTTTCTTCCAGAAAAAAATCGATTTTTTGCTCTGTCGACATGGGTGACGGCCTCTGGCGTCCTCCCATAAATGCGCCACTGATCCACACCGACATCGGCATCCACACCCCGCCCACACCCTCACCAACAGCAACACCCACACCCACACCCACGCTCACACCCATACCCACACATCCACACCCACATTCACATCCACACCCACATTCACATCCACACCCCACCCATCACTATTCACAACACTTCCACTTGTTGAGAAGAATTGTTTCCCATGAAATTAAAAGGTTCCAGCAAAGTTGACAAGTTCTGAGTTCTTTAAATTTCAAGCGCCAAATGCGTTATCCTCATTAGAAAATACGAATCGTTCAACTCCTCAACCTCAATACTTCACAGTTCGCAGCTATTGTATAAGAGAGAGACGAAAAAAAGAATCTCACCGATTCGAATAGTCGAAAGGAAAACAAGATTGAACAAAAGCCGATATTAATGTTTTATCTCAACTTTCTGTGTTCCCGTCACCTTCGTTGAAGGCGATTCTTCAGTGCATCCAAACAGCCGCTTGAAAACCAATTTGCCAAAACGAGTTTCATCGAATTCTTTTTTGTAAATTGTCGATGGCATCACGTAGAAAACAAAGCTCAATATTTGCGGTGTGTAGCAGAGTAAGTAGGAGATCAACAGCAGGTGCCGTTGCCAACCAATCAATTCTTTACACGCCAGGCCGAATGTGAGGATCAATTGGGGCAACGCCGGGAGTAGAATCAGCGCCTGCGTCACATAAAGTTCTTTCTGGGCCTTGAATTTAGTTTTTAGCACTTCATAAACACTAATTCGTTGTCGATTGACTCGGGCGCGACTACGCGCCGCAAACACGATCAGAAGAGTGATGGAGACAGTCTGAACAAAAAACACTGCAAAATGATGCAGAAACGTCGAAATTCGATGATACGTCGATACGAGACCCGTGCCAAAATCTATAACACAGAGCGTTGAGTTGGACGACAGCTGATCAATGATCTTCGAGTACACCAACTCGTCAAGGTGCATCGCAAGAAGAACGACCACTGTGCCAACACTAAGGGTGTGGGTGTGGGTGTGGATGTGGGGTGTGGGGTGTGGGTGTGGGTGTGGGTGTTGGTGTGGGTGTGGGTGTTGGTGTGGGTGT